ACGTGTCCTTTATTTTGTACATCAGGAAGGGGGGCTAGGGAGGGGTAAGTGGAAGGAGGTGAGGGAGGAATGGGGTACGAGCCCCTGCTGGGGAGGACTGGGGTGGCTCTGCGGGCTCCTCGGGGTGGAAGCTCTCCTGCAGCCCCCCGATTGACCCTCCCCTGGATGGCAGCCTGCGGCAAGTGCAGCCGGGCTAATGGCCGAGTGCTGTGATGTTCCGCGTGTGGGCACTCCAAGCCAGGACTGCTTTGCAAGTGGGGAACCCCTTAGAACTGTCTGTCCGGGGTGGGGGTCAGGTCCCTTTAAGCACAGACCTCAGCTAGCTTGAGACTGCAGCTCCACGCTCTAAGTCCTAATCTGATGCCCTGCTGGCACTGCTTCCGGCCAGCCTTAACCTCGCTTCAGGGTCCACTCAGTGTGGACATGCTAGTTCGAATTAGCAAAACGGTAATTCAAACTAGTTTTTAGTTCTAGATGTACTAGTTCGAATTAGCTTAGTTCAAATTAACTAATTCAAATTAAGTTAGTTCGAATTAGCGCTGTAGTGTAGACATACCCCAACATACCAAACAGAAGCAATTCTCTTTGTTTTAATCTTACTTTGTTCAGTCGCTCTGTAACACCTAGTAATCAAGTAATGTTTCACCCAGCATGGTTGTTTAAAAAAAAAATAAAAATCACGTTTTTAAGACACTGATCTGTTTCCTGTGTCCCAGAAGGCAGGAAGTTCTCTGTGTGCCTAAGTCTGCAAGACTAGCTATTAAGAAAAAATAGAGTTTTTTTCAAGCCCTCTCCAGAGGAAGGATTAAAGATACGTGCTAAGTTCACACTCCAGGCTGCATCCCCCAGGACCCAAAGCAGGCTGGCAAGATGAAATTATTGTCAATGTATTCAGTTGCATTGGAATGATGGGAGCTCGCGGTTTGGTTCATGAACCAACTGGAGAACCAACCCAAATGGCATCATAGGGTACGTCTAGACTACAGGCTTCTGTCGACAGAAGTTTTGTCAACAGATACTGTCGACAAAGCTTCTGTCGACAAAGAGCGTCTAGACTACATTGAGTTCTGTCGACAAAGCAAGCTGCTTTGTCGACATGGTAGTGTGGACGCAAAGGACAGTTTACATGCAATAACACCTTCTGTCGACAGAAACTCTGTCGACAGAAGGCGTTATGCCTCGTAAAACGAGGTTTACCAGCGTCGACAAAACTGCTGAGTTCTGTCGACGTTATGTCGACAGAACTCAGCGGTAGTGTGGATGCAGGTATAGTTTTGTCGACAAAAGTCCACTTTTGGCGACAAAACTCTGTAGTCTAGACACACCCATGGTGAGCTGATATAGGCCAAATGGCATAGGAAAAGGCCACCTTTTTCTGGGTGCCTGGTATCAATATAGAAATTAATGGCTTAAGGAAGGAGGAAGATTCTTTAACAATTTTTTTTGGAAAGTTGCAGCTATCTAAAACTTTGATCTTAATGATTTCTTAAAAAATCCTATGTTACTAATTAATACATCGCGTATTATGAAGCAGTAAGGCCAGATTTTTTAAATCTGATACAGTTCTGGCTCTTAAAAGTCAGTACTAACAAGTACAAGGTCTTATATTAGCTGTTGGATGAAACATTATTACCAAGCTCCTTGAAACGTGGCTCTGTCTACAACCCCTAAAGCCATCTGTGAATTTGCTCTGGGGCTTCTACTCTTGAGCTGGTGATACACACAAGATTAAAGTCAATAACAGAACATTTATCTGTTTGTATATGTCTCTGTTTCACTTGTTCTTGTATAGCATGGATCCTAAACATTCCCCAGAGAAACCGTATTAGCCTGCTTGAATCCCTTTGACTCACCTTTCCAGTGTCAGTAAATATTGTACCAGTTTTACAAAGACAGCATGACTATTTCTAGTTGACTCATAGATTTGTTTATCAACTTAAAACTGTACTACATGTGGATCAGATGCATTTTGGTTTGTTTTCTAAGTTGAGTTGTTAGAAAGGATGAGGATATGTGTACTCCCAGGGTAGCATTATTTTCTTTTAATTTGATTTCATATTAAACAAACATCGTAAGCAGTGCTCCTTGTTCACTATCCCTTGTTTTAATATATTTACTTCCACACCCATGGACTGTTTAAAATAAATTTGTAGGGTGGGTTTGTTTTTACTTATGGTGCTCATCTACACACTACCTCAATATTCATGCTCCACATAAGAAATTTCAAGGCATCCAAAAGAAATTTCATACCACCTAAGGATGAAAAATGTTAGTGGAAACACTGCTACCATCTCAGCCTCAGAGCAGAGGGGGCCCAGCTGCAGCCGGATAGAGGTGGAGAAGATCCAGTGAGTGATGGCAGGCAGAGGTTATTAAAAACAGGGACAACGCTTAGAGGATGGTGGAGACAGAACCTGGCACACAGCGGACTAGGTGAAGTAGAGGCAGAGGGATGTTTGGAGAAAGAGGTGGGACAGGACACAGCCCCTGGGGAAACAGGCAGAGAAGAGACAGGGTCTTGGGTTCCAGCTGTCAGCAATTCAACAGGTGGCAGCCCTATGACTCTACAATTTGTCAACCTGACGCAGCACAGCAAGGTCTGGAAAGGATGTAATATCGGTTAGACACCAAAATAAATGATTAAAGGAACGAAGCCCAGCACCAGGGCAACAGCCAGAGCTGCACAAAACTTGGTGTGACAGCCAGAGCCCCAGGAGAAAACTTTACACTATTTATGAGTAAACAGCCCAAGCAGCCGGCCCCGTATTTGTTTGGTCTTCACCCCGTAGATGATGGGGTTTAGCATGGTAGGCAGCAGGAAGTGCATGTTGCCAAGGAGAACATGGACATGTTGGGGAAAATTCAGTGTGAAACGAGACATGATGTTGGAGACGGCACTTGGGATGTAAAAGATTATAATGGCGCAGAGATGTGTGCCACAGGTTAAAAACGTCTTCAGTCGGGCGTCCTTTGTAGGGAGGATGAAGATGGCCCTGAGGATCTGCACGTAGGAGAGTAAAATGAAAATCCCATCCAGACCCATCACACAGAACACCACAAAGAGGCCGTAGTAACTATTAACACGGCTGTCGGTGCAGGCCAGCTTCACCACGGCCATTTGTACACAATAAGGCTGAGGGATGATGTTGGTTCTGCAATATGGCCATTGCCTCAGTAGGAAGGGGTAGGGCAATACGAATATGCCTTTGCTCAGCAGCACGGCTAGGCCAATCTTGGCCACCACTGAGTTTGTCAGAATGGTGGAATGTCTGAGGGGATGGCAGATGGCCACATAGCGATCATAAGCCATGGCTGCCAATATCCCAGACTCCATCAGTGCAAAGCAGTGAATGAAATACACCTGGGTGAGGCAGGCACTGAAATCGATCTCCCTGGAATTGAACCAGAAGATGCTCAGCATTTTGGGCAGAATGGACGTAGACAAGACCAGGTCGCTAGCACCCAGCATGCAGAGGAAATAGTACATGGGCTCATGGAGGCTCGGCTCTTTCTTCACAATGAACAGGATGGTGAAGTTGCCCAAGATGGCTATGGTGTAGATGACAGAGTAGGGGATGGAGATCCAGACATGGACCACCTCCAGGCCAGGAATCCCCAGGAGAATGAAAGTGGAAAATAGGACATGGAGTAAGGTAGAGGAATATGTCATGGATGAGAACGTGTTCCACTTGGGGGCAAAACGGTGTCTCTTACATCTACTGTACGTTCCCCTGATTTCCTTTTTATGTCCTGGCTCTTGAGTGATGGTCCCAGTTCCAACAGCTGGATGGAGAGACAATGTTAACAAGAGACACAATGTGGCTGTTTTCATGGCTGCAGCTAGTTGCCTGCTCTTCAAACCCGCACACACAGAAAAGACATTTCCACTGTTCAGAGAAATGAACCACGAGTCTTTGGCCCCACTAAGGGCAGTTCTATATCTGACGTGTCAATAGCGGGGAAACCTCATTTTGTGGGATAGCTTAATGTGCGCTCAAGGGGAGGAGTGTGGATCCTGGTTATCCCTCATTGCTACCCAGTAAGGACCCCCAGAGCACAGACTCTGTGCTCTTTGGAGTTCCCCATTCTCCTGCCTGCTCTACATAAGAGAATGTGGATAGAATCTGTGAGAAGACCTATGCCAGGGGAACCTCTCAAATAGGACACCCCTCAGGGATAGATCTAGTGATCACTGATGGCTGCTCCGTGGAAATCCCTGCCCAAAGCACAGACAATGTTCTGGTCCCCATGTGATGGCATGACCTGGAATTTCAAACATGCCGAGTGTGGCATGTAGTGTGATGTGTTTGCAACAAGTTTTGTACAAAACATGCCACGTGAGAGGCCTGTAAAAAGCAGATGATTCACAGGCTCTGGTTATGCTATTTGTGTGCCTGCCTGGGTCTTTAGTTGGAGACCTGGGCATGAGCCGTGTGTCTGTATTTCCTGTTGATGGACAATGAACCACAGGAGGCTCAAAATTACACTGAATGGACTTTGTTGCCCACCTTCCATCTTCAATGTGGGACATGGGATCCACCTGCAAAGAAGTGACTCATGCGTGGGCAGATAACAATGAGGGGTTTGGGACACATGACGTACGAGGAGAGGCTGAGGGATTACTTTATCTGCAGAAGGGAAGAGTGAGGGGGGATTTGAGAGCAGCCTTCAACTTCCAGAAAGGAGGTTCCAAAGAGGCTGGAGTGAAGCTGTTCTTAGTGGTGACAAGTGACAGAACGAGGAGCAATGGTCTCAATTGGTAGTGGGAGAGGTCTAGGTTGGATATTAGGAAAAACTATTTCATTAGGAGGGTGGGGAAGCACGGGGATGGTTTGCCTAGGGAGGGGGTGGAATCTCCATCCCTAGAGGTTTTTAAGTCCCGGCTTGACAAAGCCCTGGCTGGGATAGTTTAATTGAAGCGGGTCCTGCTTTGGGCAGGGCGCAGGACTCGATGACTTCTGAGGTCTCTTCCAGCCCTGAAATTCTAGGTGACTTGCCCAAATGATAACACACTCCATGCTAGGAAATGCTTTTCCACAGTGAGGACAATGGGATTCCCTCCATATGGCTGAGAATTTAGGAAGAGCCACAGAAATCCCTTCATTTCCCCTTTATCCTACTTCTCCTCTCAGGAGGATCCTTGCTCAGAACTGAAGCACTCAACAAAGGTCTCCCAACCCATCCCAGCTGCTCCAGAGGCTTCCCTTCTACAGCCTTCAACAGTTTCTTTCTTTCTTTCTTTCTTTCTTTCTTTCTTTCTTTCTTTCTTTCTTTCTTTCTTATAAAAAAAAGTTTACATTTTTGTTTCTTAAGGGATTGTTGCAGCATAATTTTTGTTAATATTCTAAGTTCTATATTAGCCTGGGTTTGTGGCTGATCCTCTGGAAGCTGAAGAGTCTTTTTATTTAATGAGGCTGGTATAATTAATATCAGTGAAGGGCAGGGTTAATGGAAAACAGGTCTTGTAAAGTATCAGAGAGCTAGCCGTGTTAGTCTGAATCTGCAAAAGTGGCGAGGAGTCCTGTGGCACCTTATAGACTAACTGAAGAGCTGGAGCATAAGCTTTCGTGGGCAAAGACCCACTTTGTCACATGCATGTAGTGGAAATTTCCAGAGGCAGGTATGGAAGCTGGAGGCATGCAGGTAAGCATAGTGGTCGGTAGGCTTATGTCACTTATTTGCACTGTGACACGGTGCAAATAAGTGATGGTCACATCAATACCACCCTATACCGAAAGCCTACCGACCGCTATGCTTACCTACATGCCTCCAGCTTCCATCCCGGACACACTACATGATCCATTGTTTACAGCCAAGCACTGAGGTACAACTGCATATGCTCCAACCCCTCAGACAGAGACCTACACCTACAATATCTTCAACAAGCATTCTGTAAACTGCGATACCCACACGAGGAAGTGAGGAGACAGATCGACAGAGCCAGACGTGTACCCAGAAGCCTCCTGCTACGGGACAAGCCCAAGAAAGAAACCAACAGAACACCACTACCAGCCCAAGAGAGAAACCAACAGAACACCACTGGCCATCACCTACAGTCCCCAGCTAAAACCTCTCCAACGCATCATTAGTAATCTGCTATATACATCGGCCAAACTGGACAGTTCCTACGTAAAAGAATCAATGGACACAAATCTGATATTAGGAATGGCAATATACAAAAACCTGTAGGGGAACACTTCAATCTCCCTGGACACACAATTGCAGATCTAAAGGGAGCCATCCTACAGCAAAAAACTTCAGGACCAGACTACAAAGAGAAACTGCTGAGCTACAGTTCATCTTCAAGTTTGACACAATCAACTCTGGATTAAACAAAGACTGTGAATGGCTTGCTAACTACAAAAGCAGCTTCTCCTCTCTTGGAATTCACACCTCGAGATCAGCTACTAGAAGTGGGCCTCATCCTCCCTGGTTGGATCCACCTGGTCATCTCCAGCCTGATTCTGGCCTGCATATTTATACCTGCCTCTGGAAATTTCCACTCCATGCATCTGACGAAGTGGGTCTTTGCCCACGAAAGCTTATGCTCCTACACTTCAGTTAGTCTATAAGGTGCCACAGGACTCCTCGCCGCTTTTGCAGGTCTTGTAAAGTCCTCTAATGACAGGACACATTTGGTTGATTAAGGGAACCATGCAGACTCAATAAACATCAATATCTGTGAGGCTTTCACTAGCCTGTGGATAAATACTGACTTATAGATGAACACTGTGCAGTTTCAGCAGAGCACAGGCAAAGTGGACGGAAAACAGGCTAAGTGAGCGGTCTCAGAAAGCTGCTGTCCCTGGGCAATTGTCAGAGAATGGGGTGGTTTTTAGTGGGGTTCTGCAGGGATCAGTCCTAGGCCTGGTGCTGTTCAATATTTTCCTCAATAATCTGGACATAAAAAAAGATGCAATATGTGAATGCCTCAGAGACTGGCTGAGTGGTGTAATGAGGGGGCCAGGACAGGTACGTTGATTGACCTGGAGCGTTTGGTGAGCTGAGCCCAGGCAAACAAAATGCTTTAATACAAACATGCAACATTATCCAACTCTGGTCGCCTCATTTGCCTACCTACCTCAAATTAACGAGCTAGTGTAGACATACCCTAAGAGACTTAAAGGAGTGCATTCATTTATGGTAACTAGTAAAAATGGGGTGCTGCCTGAGAGTTTGGAGCGAGCTCAAGAGAAGAATGTGCGGACTGCATGCTGTTTACACTGCCGTTAGGCTGACAGAGCTGTATCTCCCGGGGGTGAATTTTTTCTTTTACTGCTGTTTCTAAAAAGGAAAATGCAGCGTATTGTTGGCGGCTCAGCGGGCCAGCCACGACAGGCAAGAGGACCACTCTCCTCAGCTCCTGTCAGCCCCGTGCCAGGGAACTGGGTCCAGCGTTGGTCACTGCAGTACAGGAGGTCTGGGGGGAAACGGTAAAGCTACCGAGGCCAGCGACAAAGTGTTCAAAGGCTGCAATGCCAGATACACGGGACAGCTAACGGACTGGGTGTCTTCAGTTTGAAAACCAGAGATTAAGGCAGGACTTGGGGGACTTCAAATACTTCAACACCTGACGCAAAAGGGGTGGGGAAACGCTGTTTTCTCTTGCCACAGAGGCCGGGGAAGTAGACAGCGGGTTTGAACTCTAGCAGAGCAGATTAAAATGCAATTTCTGGGACAACTGCCTAGCTGGAGGAACAAGAGGACGATGGAAAAGAAGGTTTCGGATGCTGGCCAGCCGGCCGGCTGCCTAGTCAAAATTACAACAAAAGTACCTTGGCAGGGGTCTGACCTCATGGCTCTCTAATTCTACAGTGTCAAGTCCTAGAGTGCATTGGGCCTGAGTGACAGACAAGTACAGGGACTCGCTCCAGGGGCAGCAGGGTGAAATTTACTGCTCTGTATTATACAGCAGGTCCAAGAGAGACCTGGCATCACAGAGACGTGGTGGGACTATGCCACTGATAAATAGGTCAAAATGATTCCCCTTAATCCCAGAAAATAGACAAATAAGCAACGGGCTTAAACAGCAGCAAGGGAGGTCGAGGTTGGACATTAGGAAAAACTTTCTTACAGTCCGGACAGGGAAGTATTGGAGTAAACAGCCTAGGGAGGTGGTGGAATTTCCATCATGGGAGCGTTTAAAGAGCAGGTTGGACGAACACCGTTAGGGATGCTCTACATGGCTCTTTGTCCTCCCTGCGTTGAGGGTACTGGACTTCTTGACCTCTCAGGGGCCGTTCGTTCTGTGTAACAGTCCATGCTCCCGTAAGCCTGGCGAATCTACCAGTAAATGAAGCAGAGGGGCCT